AAATCCATTCTTACCAATGTACAATATCTCAGGCTTAGGATTGCTTAATTTATTCTGACTCCTGAACATAAACTGATTGCAGGCTGACTTGTATCTTTTTTTCTCAGTGTATTGCTTTGTGTTCCATCAAGAATTTAAAATATTTTGAGGGCATAGTTTATCAAATGTATAGCTCAGTGCCAGTCACTGTTTATGGCTTAGCAATTGTTATATAAAAATTAAGATTTTTGAAGTTTTCTTCAAAGTATCCTGCATGTAATTGGTTAGAAAGTTTAAGCTACTTTGTTTAGAAATATTGAGTGGTTATGGCATTTCACCTGTCACATCACTCTCCTCCAGGGCTCTCTCATGCTCTTTACTTTCTAGGTTCTGTGTCAGAATTACCAGGCCGTCTCTATGAGTGTCTATCCTCAGGTTTCTGAGAAGAATCATTTTAAAGCTCTGTCCTGTATTCTTGCCTGTCTTTCAATTTTTTTTTTATTTCTAGCATACTTTGCTGGTCTTAATCTTCATTCTTCAGAAATTTCCTGGTGCTCCAGGTAGATTTTTTTGGGCTGCCTTGCACTTCTTCTGGCTTTGTTGTGCAACTTTCTTAATTCCTTCCTTCTCCTATCTTTCTTCCATAGTTTCTATAATTTTCAGGATCCTTTCTGTTATTGGTGGTTGCTTAGCATTGTATCTTTTCACCTCCCCTCACAGAATCACAGAATCACTAGGTTGGAAAGGACCTTCAAGATCATCAAGTCCAACCATTAATCCAGCGCCACCATGTCCCCTAAACCATGTCCTGAAGTGCCACATCCACACGTTTTTTGAACACTTCCAGAGATGGCGACTCCACCACCTCCCTGGGCAGCCTGTTCCAATGAGGTGGTTTTATATACCAGAGTTGTGACATGCCTTCAGTTTTCTTCTATGTTTTTCCTCTCTTCTACCCATCAAATCTCCCCTTCGAAGTCTATTTCTCATGTTTGTTTCATTTCAATTTTGAATCTACAAAAATTTGAAATATTTTCTATTTTACATCCTTTCAAGCTTAACGTCAGCTACAGATTCTATTGATCCTAGCATGTAGAATGAAGTTTTGATCTTGCAATATATCTGATTTCCTGCAGGACCGGCTCTTCTGTTCAGCTGGGATGATGCTGAAACCAGACATTCCAGATAATAGGATCATGTCTGTTGTTTGCAAATTCAGTCAACTTGTTTTCCCTTTTACTCTTAAATACAAAGCCAGGAATTCCCGATTAGATAGAGCTAACCATACAAATGCTTTACATTCTAGCATTAGCACATTATAATCAAATTCTTCCAGCATTTCCTCTCTTTGCCTGCTTCCCCCCCCAGTTCTTTATAAGGACTATTTTTTACATCTTCTTTGAAGTCTTCCAAAGTGCATGAAAGATTAAAATACAGAGTCCAGATGGCAAGGTGTGTAATCATAAGCAGATCACGTTTCAAAGTACTGATGGCCAGGCTTTTTTGGTTTTGTTTCTAAATTTCTCCAAATCCTGTGTAATCTCTTTATTCACCTTAAAGTATCGTATCATAAACATTTCCTAGTTCTATACATTTTCTTTCCCAGAGTTCCATATCGGTATGTTTTCAAGTGTTTGCTTTCCTCCAATGTTTTTGGAAGCCATCTGATTTTACAACTAATGTTTATACCCCATGTGGTAATCTTCCATTTGAGGTTTTCCCACCCATCTTTTGCATATCTAATTTTACAGAAGGCAATAACTAACATCAATTTCTACAGATGGATGATTAACCCCAAATTGGTAATTTAAAAATCATATAAATTAAAAAAATAACATTTTCCTTAGATTTTCATATATCCCTGGAAGTGTCTAGCGAGTTTCATTACAAAAGAAAGCTTAAAAACCTTTTGCATAATTATGGAATTCCACTAGAAAAAAGGAGATTATGAAAGTTAAGGATGCAAATTGAGGACTTAACGGAGAAGGAGATTCAGTGTTAAATGCTTCATCTTACCCTCTAAATGACTGTAAAATTTTCTAGCACTGGTAAAACAACACCATTTCCTCTACTGTCATTCTCAGATATAGCTGAACCATTTCAACTGAAGCTTCCCAAATGATTCAGCTTGAGGCAGACACTCAAAAATCAATCTGAACGTTTTAAATTTGGCAAAGGTACAAGCATTTAAGAAGAGGATCTTATACCAGTAAATACTTGGCAATCTGAGCTAAAGGCATCCTTATTTGCCTGAGCTATAACAACTTCCCTGATCAGAAGCAACCAGCTGTTTCTCAGAAGCCACTGCATAACTCTGCAGTGTTGGCTGCACTTCAGTACCAGGTAACACAATTTTTATGCACTACTGTGACTACAGCAACAGTGATTTTAATGATCAGAAAATTCTTCTTCCCTATCAGCAAAAATCAGTCTCTTGCCGGAGCTGGTGGAAGCTCTGTGCTTCGCAATATTGAGAATAAGACTGGACGGAGCATTAAGAAAGCATGCTGTACAATGGGAGCTCAGTGGTCCCTGGTGTAATTATTTATTTAAATGGAGCTACAAACCCTTAATTCAGAATTTATTTGGCCTACCAAAGAGGGAAAAATTCACGAGATTGACATACAGCATTTGTGTGATTACACACACATTTAAGAAATTCCTTCTTGTGAAGGCTTCAAGAAGAACATACATCAAAATGAAAAAGCTGTAAGCAGCATTGTTTAGAGAAGAATAAAAGCTCTGACATGGTTTACTACAGCTTCCTAACATCCATTTGCTTTTAATCATTATCATATTAAAATACTGAGCAGGAAATGTCATTAAAATAAATTTTGAACTGATCATGGAAATAAATAAATGGAATTAATTTTTTATTTGCAGATTTCCTCTGTGAAAAATACTGCTTGGTGAGATTATACCTCACACGTGCAAGGAATGCTGAAAAATGAGCTTGACATTGGTATGCAAGGTGCGGAATAAAAAATATGCAGGGAGGGAGCTTTGTCCGCTAATTAAGAGTAGTGGATTGTAACAAGATTCCTGGAGACTGGCACTCCTTGGATAAATCACTTGAACAAAACACGTTCAGACGAGGGCATCTCAAGTCGATTTACCCTGTCTGGATATAATTTTGAAGTTCACTGCATACCAGCTGAAGCATCCCTACAATAGAGTTCACAAGGGGAGTTGTCAGGGGTGACCTTTTAGTGATGCCGCTCTCTCTCCTGCCCCAACAGAAGCAGGGACAGCCCCAAAGCTGAGGAGAACCTGCTTTTGCAAGCGTTATGCTCTAGACTTTGGTCTCCTGTGGTTCACTCAACACATGCACAGATGGGATGCCAACATGAAATCACCACAGAAAGTTTTCACAGAGAGAGTAATAAGAAAATGATTAAAAGGGAGGCTGGATGTAAATCAAAATTCATGAGGCCTCCCAGATGGCCTTGACCCAGTAGCTGGCACACACTGATCCCCTCTATCACAGATCATCATAGTTGACTGGGGATGATAACTTTTGATGTGTTATTTAAAATGTAGAACTTTCAGGGCAGCAGTCCTTATCCCATTTTTAAATTTTCATGGACAAAAAGCAAGTCATTCTATTCTTGACTTTAGAATACAAGCAATAAACAATGAGCACATGAGTTTTCCCAGGTATTTTTACAGGAGCTGGAATGCTCACCTGTGTTAAGTGAGGGTAAGACACAACTTTTTCTGTTTCATACACTTGAGTTTCTGTATTTTAATGCTCTTATCTTCCTAACTGGAGTATTGCAGTTTTATCAAAATAGTTATGCTGTTTGGATTAAGCCTAACAGGGCCCTTCTGATTTTTTTAACATATTTGCCATGCTAGAAACAACAAACAAACCTTCCAAAAACAGTTTATATAGAGCTGATTTGGGATTACTCTTTTATGGTGTGCTAAATTAAAAAAAAAAAGTTTAATTTTGTTATGTCATTCCAAAATTGCAAAAGCATTTTAGAATTTTGGAACTTGAATTGACAGTTAAAAAGAAGAATCATTTTATTATTTTTGTGCAGTATATCACTTTGTTGATGCTGCTGGCAAATTTTTTGCACTTCCAGAATGCTTAGCATTTAGCTCAGTGACATAAGTACCACATATGAATTCTTATAGTTGCTTTTAGCTAAATTCTACATATAGATAGCTTCCTTATATGCTTGAAACAGAGCAAAAATATAGTCCTTTTAGGGGAATGAAATGTAGAGGATATATTTGGATTCTGATAACTTCCTAGGATGTTGCATTCAAGATGCAATATGAAGATGGAGGAAGGTAGTTCACAAGGTTTTGACAGTGTATGGAGCAATCCATTTGGTATCTTTGTTTTAAATATATGAGATGCAAATATCAAGGCACTACAAGATCCTCCATTCCAGCACTGCAGCTATAGTTACAGGTTATTCCTTTTGGCTTGGTAAGATTTACCTCTGTTTGACACCAAGTGACCATAGTTTTTATGTTCCTAATCAATAAACTAGCTCAGTCACTTCGGTTGCAAATCCATCTTTAAGGTTAACTTCTGTGAGAGACAAATATTAAAGCATGCAGCATTGTGTAGCACTGAATAATGTTTGCAGCAGGTACAGCCCAAACTAAGAGTTTCTATGGAGCATTTTTTCATTTATCATGGAAGCCTATCTGTACCTATAGAAACTCAGACTGTCTGCACATGAATGTGAATTCCCTAACTTCCCCAGTATTTTCATTATAAAAGCTCCAAAGAATTTACAGTTTAAGGGCAAAGCAATTATCATTAAGAGCTTCCTCTCTTGCACTTTGGACACCAAGAGAGCAAATATTAGTTAGGGAACGCCACGAGCAAACAGTGCAGTGAACCACAATAGGTTGCACGCAACAAAACCCACATACACTCTGCATGGCCTGCGGAAACATTACATATAGCACAACCACGGTTATAGCCCTGAGTTAAAATCATATAGAACATGCTGATTTTGCAAAATTGAAAGATAAACAAACAGTAAGACATTTACCTTCCACATCAAGGCACCTAGGTGGGCTATCTGACCAGATAAGGTTATACATGCACTCAAGGAACTCTGCCCCTTCTAGTTTATATCCAGGAAAGCATTGATAATGCACCACTGTTCCTACGGGGAAGGAGGACTCGAACTCAGATACGTTAATGTAACTATGAGGAAGAACGAATGGCCTCAGGCAACCTGCAAATTAAGAAGAGGGAAGTATCTTTTATTATAAGGTGCTTACCTCAGTCATCTTTACACATCTTGGTTATAATTCCTAAATTGAGGAGTGTGATAGTTTTCATCTTCTCTACTATGAATGGCATGCCTGCATGATCTCCCTCAGATACATATGCCTCATTATCCTGTTTCAAACTAGCCCACATGCTTTGCTAGCATGGGATTCACTCTCAGCAAATCCAGGAAAGGTTTGTTTCACAAACATTCACTGGCTAAGCAGATGGCAATTTCTTTTTGAGGTAGAATCTTTACTAAATAAAGATTGACATTTATATAAACCATGAGTTTTATTCCTCCTCTTAAAATTGACAGGCATGTAAACCATCTTTAATATTAAAACTGCTCCTGTGACAAAGTGCACACAACTGTAAAAGATTCGCAGACAGAATTAATGATTTTGAAATTCCAGTTTGAGAAAGTCTGAAGAGACGTGACTTCCCATGAGCAGTCCCAGGATAAACACTGAATGAGGTCTCAAATTAGGTTATCAAAAAGTAAAGGTACTTGTTACCACCAGAAATTGTAAATATAGTCAGAGACTACGTTCTACTTCTGGAATTACTTCTGAGGGATTTGTACCATGGATGGCACTGAGCTGTGACAGCTAAATGGTCACCAGCCATATTTGGTGCAAGAAAGAGCAGTGAATTTAATAGATGACATGACTTTATAACATGTCATTCACACACATTCAGAGTCTGTCTTGAGCTGGTGTTTACATGAGAGTTTGTACTGGAGAAAAAAAAAATTCCTCATGGCCTTAGAAATGACCCTCTGGGTAATACTTAATACTGTTGATTTTTTAATTTGCAGTAATGTGGCGGAAAGATAATTAGTAATCAGGGAATGAAAAATAATATTCTAAAGTTATGAGACTAATAGGAGCTGCATTATGGCAATCCATAAATAGGTCTCTTGCCACTACTAAGAATTTGTGAAGGATGTTCATGGGACTCTCATGATTTTAAGCCTGCAGGGGAAACTAAAATCAGTCTGAGAACTTCTTGTAAGATACTGGCATCTAAAAGAAGTCTCACCAGCGCTTCAAGTAGTTATTTCCTTACAATGGCCTTTTGAGGGACGAAAGCAAAAGAAAACAACAGAAAAAGCTTGAAAGCTTTTTACAGCACACTGTACTACCAGAGCACTGCTTTTGATAGCTGTTTTACTAGCTGGTTATCTCCCTGCTCAAATAAAGCTTGAGCATCCTATCTACAGGCTACTGCTCGTACCCCTGATCAAGTATGCCTCACACATAACACACCGGTGCCTGCAAACCGAGCAGCCCACTGAGCAGGATGATATAAGCAGCCTCCAGTGGGACAGAGAGAGCGAGCAGACTGCTCGAGCAAGACCAAGCTTACTCTCGTCTGAACTGTAGCAGGGAAAATTTTGTCCTGCTGGCTCAGAATTTTAATTCTCATTGGGAGCAGGACAGAGATTTGCTTGAATTTGTATGAGCGCCAAGTGTTTGTGAAAAGCCCTAGGTCTCCAAACACCTCAAGCTGGTTGAAAACTTCATTTTGACTTTTTTTTGCTAAGTAATTCACATAATTCCAGATCAGTAATTATCATTATTATCTCATGGCAAAAGTAGTTTGAAGCTGGATTCTTATACGCTTTACAATCCTTTCCCACTGCTCTGCCAGAAAAAAGGCATGTTAGTGTCATGAGACTCCCCTGCCTGTTGTAATCAAAGGGTGGGCCATGGAAATGTAATTGACAGCCTACCTAGTGCAAATAGACAAGTGCCTTTGAGATTACTAGTGCTTGACATAGCAAAAAGAAAATTCTGGAGTCAATTTTAGAACAGGCTTATAGAATTTGGCAAAATATGGCAGATAGATAGATACTTGAATCTGAATTGCCCATTCTCTACCTGTCTGGTAGTTGCAGCACTTTGCTCTTGTGCAATTGATTTCATAAATTTTATTAGCACTGCTTTTATTTTTAAAAGCAGCTAATATTGAATATTGAGTAGCAGCAACTGATTGTGTTTCATTGTATACATACAGCAACAGAAGAAAGTAACAAGCTGAGGGGTACTTGGGGGACTTTTGCTTACCCAGTTCATACTGACTCTCACAAAATTTCCACCTGGATCTTTGTCAATACTGTACCTATAAATTAATCTTCTGAGTAGTCATCTCACCTAACTGCAAGAGTCTTAATCCACCTTAATTAGATGTGAGGTGCACTCACTCCCAAAAATGGGCTGTATACTTCATGCTGCCACAACCCATGCCATTGCTGATAAGACATCCCGAAACTAGCACCCACTTTTTTATGGGTTTGTGAAAACTCCCCTTTTCTGATGGCCCTCTTCAGATACACTGAGCTAGCCCTGTAATGTGCCTAAATTTCTACATGCTTGCACCAGAGTCTACAACAAGACCTTGAGACAGAGTTTGATGTGCCCGAAACTGAGGGTCCTGGCCCTGGAGACCCATACAAACTAAGCTGCTGTAACTTTGGACTCTGGCACCCATTAATCTCATCACTTCACAGCAGAAAGGCCAAGCGCTGACTTTTATGTCTCACCCTGCCACCGTCAGTCCTGAAAAGTGTCCCAGCTCCTCTGCCTGCCTGCCCCGATTCTGCAAATTGATGTGACAGTGTAAGTGCGTACAAAGACCTGTCAGCTTTAGGAGACCACAGATGGGTCTGAGGAAAGTTAATACTAACTGGTCTTCTCCTTAGCACAGACAGTTAAAATCTCTCAATGCTGTTCAGCTGATAAAGCTTGTTACCAAGATGTGAATTGGTTAAAACCAAGTCAATGGTGCTAACACGTGTGTGTTAGAAACGTCAAGGTAATAGCAGCCCAGGGTTATTGAATTTCCATTCACTAAAGCTGGCTTTCCTCCAGCCATTTCTTGCAGTCTAAGCGAAGCTGGGATCCCATGCTACTCATACCACTAGTTCTATGGTTAATGGCTTTTCTGGCCAAAATTGTTCCTGTGCATACCCTGAATTTTCAGTCAACACCTATGGGTTTAATGGACTGTGAACATGATCAATAACCCTGCTGGAAACTCCAGTAGAAGAACAGGTTCCAGCTTCTCTCTATCCCTGACTGCTGCATAAAGCAAAGAAAGGTAAACTGCAGTTAGAAGCTTACATCTTTTCAGAAATTAATTGGTGCAAAGATGTCAGTTGCCCATCAGATCTTTTGCTGAACTTCTGGCTGATTTAATCCTGATTTTTTTTAGAATGCAATGTATCCGTGTCAGATTTGAGACTAGCAAAAAAAAAGCAATATTTATAGTAGCATTTTAAGCATGGGTACGTTCAGAAAGTGGCATGTTCTTTCCTGCAGTGAACAACGGGGAGGAGAAATCAAAAAAACCTTTAGCAGCAGCACTATTCAAATACTCTAGAGTGGAGCTTATCAGATCACTGACATCCTTACAACTGTAGAAAAAAATATTGGCAAACTATCACAAGGTGCATGAGCTATAAAACAGGATGTGCTGGTGTACTAAACCTTGACAAATGGGCAGATTATCCCATGTTCCATCGTCTTGACATATTGAAACCATGGTGTCTAAGTCAGGGTAACGGATCTGGAATCCTTCATGACAGCTGATTATTAACTTATCGCCAGTCCTGTATGTCTTGTTATGAATCTCTGCATCTTCAACATGTGGAACAAGGCAATCTGTGACTTCACGAAAAAAAAATAGTAACTTAATTAAAAAAACATGGCTAGCTATTCAATAATCAAGCTCTTAAGCAAAAGTCATCAGTTAATATAAGTGCTCTGCTTAAACCATTTGCAAAATACATGCATTTCAGTAAATATGTCCTTTCCCTAGTTAAGCATTGGTTACAAAGTCTATTGCACTGTAGTAGAAGCTGACATGCTACAATAATGGATCATTCCCCCAGACCTTTTTAAACAAACAAAATTGAGAGTGTTTAGGAAGACTGTTTTTAATTCTGTCCTTCCATTCATCATGTGTACAAATTACACTGCCCAGTCTGACTATACCGAAGTCCCAAGCGAAGGCAGACTTTTTGACAGCACTAAGGACAGGACAAAAGAAAAGATAAAATACAGATATGGCATGAGGAACACAGAAAAACTGCCGTTTTAGCAGAGACACAGATGAAAATCAGGTACATTTACAAGGGTTTACCCAGCTCCATTCCACAGAGTTCATTATGAGAATGTTTTTACCTTAATCTCATTGAGTCTGTTTTAAATCAGATATTTTTATGTGCCTCAATTCATGTGCCTTTAGAGGGCATGATTTTTAAGGCCCTGAGCAGCATCTCAGAGTGCTTGTAGAAGACTCTCAACGTGGGAAATGACTGCAAACCTTTAGTGATATACAGGCATGGGCTCCATTACCTGTCTGGGATACATGTATTGGACAGTCTTATATCTCAGTGTATATACTAGTGCCAAAGACACCAAAATATAAAATAAAACCCAGAAGACTAAAAAATGAAAGATGTTGTGGAAAGTGCAAGGAAAGGGTGAGGCGGGTTAAAAAACCCTCTGTCAGTATTGAATAATTAAGAGACAAACCATGAGGATATGAGGGAATAGCCCAGGTGACTCAAAGTTCATCCTCATAAATGCAAAGTGAGATTAAACAGAAGAGAGGAAAAAATTAAATATTGGGAAAACATAATCAAAATTATCTGTTTATCTGCCAGCAGGCAATCCATGACAGAGATGGTGATAAAAGTTTCCAGGCATCAAAACCCACAATGTATTTCAAATAAAAGCAAGACAGTAAAAGTATTATAAGCCTTTTTTATGCTGTTCTTTTTTTCCCAACACTTCTACCACAAAAGACAATTATCATCATTTAAGAATGCAATATTTATTAAAAAAAAGAAGTTTCAGAAGTCCCTTGAGACTTACATAAAAAAGAAAGTTTCTGCCATTTTCATGGGTAATTCTCACTAAAGAGGAAAAGGCAACTCTAAATTTGTATTTAGCAATTAATTGTGAGCATGCACAAAGTAGATAGCAACAAGCTTGCTTGTTTGCTTAAAAGGGCAACTAGAAGCAAGATAAACTGTCATTTCGCATAGCACACGCAAACTACTAAGAGCAAACGTATTTCATAACGTATTTATGTATTTAGGCAAACTAGGGTATCTATTTTTCTGAGACTCCATCACTAAATTTTACTAATATGAAGTGGAAGAGTCTTGCTTTCCCAGTTAAATCATATTTTTCTTTGTACCCTCCCATTATAGGGATGTTTTCTAAAACACCTTGTACTTCACTAACTTCTAATATGGGGCCTGGACCTATTATTAGTCAAAAATTCCCCCATTTCTCTTGTTACTTTTAGCTCCTCGGCTGCTGCTGCAGGTACCTCCTGCTGCCTGTAACAGGAAAGGCTGGCAGTCTGTCAGGCAGTCTGAGAACCCGCGGCAAGAAGTTTTATTAGAATTTATTCATTTATAAATGCCCAAGTCTGGCAGGATGTGTACCCTAACAGAAGGTTATAAAATGCACTGGCCTGAGGATGCAGACATCACCTTCAAAGACTGAACAATTTTCTCTCTCTCTCTCAGGCAAGATAATCCGCAGGGGAGACAGCAGAGGATGTCCCGTAAGAAATGCCTGACGCTAAGCCTTGAATGCCGTTACGAAGAGGCTGCCCTGGGCACCCCCGAGGACAGGATGAGATAGATGGGGATCCTGCTCTGCGGCCACGCAGGAGGAGGTCAGAGATGGATGCCAGAAGATGAATATCTCACGCTTTTGGCATAACAGCTTTCTGTTGCTATACAAATAAAAGAGGTGTGTATATACATACACTGCAGGAAAATATGAGATTTCACTTTCAAAGTGGGGGAAATTGATTCTGTAAGAGTGATCTATTACAGTGACTTCATCCCCATTATTCCAAGTAACAGCTATAGATCGAATCATTTCAATCGGCTAGGTGTTGGCAGGGAACAGTGATAAGTTGCTCACTGTACCATCCTTTGCCTGCGACGTCCTGGCTGACTTTGATAACAGGCCTATTATAAGCGCCGGCTGAATGCAAGACCAATGGACCACAGTATTACAGCTCTTTTTCCTGATGCCTTGCGAGCAAATGCTTTCCCACTGGCTGAATTTGTATTGTTTAGCACTTAGGCATAAATTGCAGTAACCGCCTCTCCACAAACAACTGGATTAGTGGGCACAAATTCTGCTTGGATAAGCTGAGAATAAGTGACTGGATTTTAAAATATCCTGTCCTAGAAAATAAACTGCTTTATTCTAAGTACTTCTTAGCAAATCCGTGGAAGCTGCTAAACCATTTAAGGGAATACAGGGTCTTTAACCAGCATCGAACAGCAATGGCTATGACTTACACTCCTTTCTGGCAGTTTTACATGATCTGCTTATATGTACTGTGTGAATATTAAAATGGGTCAGCCAAAAGAACACCCTAGTTAGGAACAGATTTCTTATCTTGCAGAGGCACAAAGAGGTGGGGTGGAGTTGGCAGGCCTGACAGCCTGTGAGGTACAAAGGTTCATCTTGACCTAACTTTCATGAAGATGCAGCTTTGTACATCAGGATTTCTTGGCTTTAGCAAACCAAGTGTGTCCTCCATCACAGGAAGATTGGGCTGAAGAGTAAAATTTGTTAAACACTATAGTTACAGTGCTTTAGATTATGTGCAAACCATGCATCATCTCTCTGGAGTTCCAACTCCAACAGATGGAACTGTTTCTTCCAGCTCATGGAGAAGGAGGACCACCCTCCCTGCTCCCAAGAACACCTGGACCATAAAGGCAGCTCAGAAGGAAGGCATGACCTGGACACTGTAGAGATAGCCACACCATCCATGGGTACCAGCTGGCTTGGCATGGCTTGGGTCTACTGCAGATGAACTCTTAGCCTCCAAAAATTGGCCCTGGTCCATGCTAATCCAGAAGGTACTTGTAGGCATTGCTTGGGGACTACTACTTGACATTGGCCAAATCCATGTCAGGGACCTTTCTAACGCTGTAACGGTACGTGCAATTGAAGAACAGTGCGCTAGCCCATGCTCTGGCACTATTTTATTTATTTACTAGTCTATGTAAACTCAAATGCAGAGGTCCAGTGCTCCTACGTATCTCACTGTGGAGCAGTCTCTGAATTAGCCTTGACTACATCTAGCCTCACTGACAGACTGGAATGGAAAGGAACAGGGTGAAAGGGTGAAAGGAACATCATGAAGAACAGGTTGAATGCAGGGACAGCTCATCTGGACCCTGTGCTCTTAAAAGTAAACATTTAAGATTGATATTGTCTCTTGTTTTTCACTAGCGTTAAATCCATAGTACTGTGTTAGTAGGATAGTTCTGTGGATGGTAAACACAGTATTTCAGTGTATATTAAATTTCTGAGGTTGTATAAAGATTGTCTCTGCTTGTATTACAACAGTGCACAGAGACTTCGCCTAAGATCTGTGGCCATCATGCTAAGCGCAGGTTACAAACATCAGATAGCGCTTGGAACCAGGCTTAAGGATTGACAAACAGTGGGCAAGACAGATTAGACATGGAGAAATAAAAATATTTCAGTCATCTCACAGATCCATGGACAAAGGCAAAGAAAAAGGAGTGCTATACGTTATACAGGAAAACTGTAGCCAAACTACGTACTAGTCCACTACTTTTACTGCAGGTTTATCATCCCTGTCACTGGGAGAATGAGGCACTGAGGACATCTTGAAGGCATCTGCCTGCAGAAGCACTGGGAGAGAAGGATACAGCTCTTCGCTTGGTTGCCATCCCCACATACACTGCAAATTTAGATTGAATCTCATAGGACAGAGGTAGCGTTTGTTCCAAGTAGGGCAACAGTCTCAGCAGCAACATTATCACAGTGGGAGAAGATTAGATTGAAGTGTGAACAACATGACATATTGCTCTTAAACAGTAAATACAAAATTCCTACCTTAGAGCTTGGGTATTTATGTGCATAACCGTATTAAAATTGATGGAAGCTACATTCACAACATGCTGTAGATCAACATGAGAACATAACTCTAAGCACACAGATTTTTGACAGGGCATTTACTGGGCACCTAGTCACACAACTTCATTCTCATACTAACACTTAAAATCTCCTGCCTCTTAACAAGAAATGACTGACCTATAAAATCAAATTGATTGGATGGAGAGCTCCAGGTGAATGTATTAGTTTTAAAATCAATTACAATCTGAAATGTGTTTCTTTGCTTCCTTTGGTAAATAGCATTCGTTTCTGGTTAGACGTTGCTTCAGTAAACACATGACAATTAAATGTACATAACATAGAGACATAAAATTATATGTAAACATCCGTAGTTGAATCCAAACTTCTGAGATTAACTTAAAATGAACTGCAGTATTGAGTGTTTTTACTGTTCAAGCTCAGCTGGCAATATCTGACATTTACATATACTAGGATGAGAGGCATGTATAGCATAAGATAGCAAACATGGCAATCAGCCCCTGCCTTAAATGAGTAAATGCAATATAAAGTTCATTTTGCCTTGTGATAGCTAATGATGAATAGTAAAACATTAACTTCTTACTTCTCTGGTAGTTGATACAAATTTCAAATTTCTTTTTATATATCATTACAGAATTTCTGTAATGAGGGCTTTTATGTATGTCATTAGACAGCTGAGAATTACAAACCCTGTTAGAATTCCTCCTTAACTGCTCTCCAGATGTGCCACATTCCTACACTACCCACCTCCCTATCGTGCTCCTCTCTCATGATTCTGCTCCCAGTACACAAAAGGATCACTCTAAAAACCACTTAAGCAAATGCTTAGGTCTCATGGATCACAACTTAACCTTTGCTTAGTATTTCTTCTGAATCAGTGGTTGCATTGTGCATTGGAAAGAAGAATTAATTCCATCATCTAATTTTTTTTCTTATTGCTAAACCCTAGGATTGTTTTAATAATACCTGAGGTATTATTATACCGTTAATCAGGAAAGTACTTAAGCACTTGCTTCACTAAATCCTAAATCAGGGTCCTACTCTTCAATCCAAATAATAAATAGCATTTTTTTGCATATGCCTAATTTTGAGCACAGAACTTTTAACAAGACTAATCACATAATTATGGTTATGCTCAAGCTTAAGTGCTTTGCTTGATCAGAGTGTTGGCTTGCAATCCTTTTTAAGTGTTCTGTGCTGTAAAGTAATGATTATCTCTTAAGCAACTGTTGTCACATCATCCATCACATTCTCATCTTCCAATTCTTTCTTTTTTTTTAGAAACACCCAGCTCAAGTGTTGATCGAACTGCCATCAGTTTTGCTGTTGATGGCATTGTGATCAGAAACCTCCTCCACAGATTGCCACTGGGCTGGGGGGCCTGGGAAGAGGTTTGAATATTCAGTAAAACATGTTGATACTCGTTTTAACAACTGCACTGAATGATACGGGTACTATTTCAAAGATGCACATCAAAATTCCTAGAAGCTACCTGCAGTGGTTAAGAAAAGAGATTTTCCAAGCATCATAGCTTTCACTGGTAGTTCAAATAACCAGTTTAGACATACGCTGCTGTCACTCTACATGTATTCTTCCTTACATAACCATGAAATGAGAGACAAGGGCATTTATGGAAAGTGGCTGTAGCAGGAGAGGGCATGAACTTCATACATACATGATTTTTAAAGGCATCAGGTTGTTTCTTTGAAGCTGCCCCACACCATCATTATGACCAGGTGTTACTGGCCCCCATTGTCTTTATGTTCCACACATCAGCTGTCATCTCCGTGCGTACCCCAAGACAGCTCAAGACTGTGTCCCTCATGGCTCTGTAGCCTGTGGCCTCACACATGCCCAGGAGTCCATATTTTACCAAGACCTCTCCTGCCAACAGGGCAGCTACCTGAAAGACCATGGACTACATACCAGCTGCCTCTGGCTACTCTCTCCAGTATCTCATGCACCACTTTGACACAGACCACTGTTTAGTCTGTGTGACACCCCACTGAAGGGTGCGTATCTCCTGAGCATGGTCCTTCCAGGCCTGGCTTGCTCCTGTTGTGGCACATCCCTTCATGCACCCCTGTTGGGGCACAGGATTCTCATACCCACCCACCCAGCAGCATAAACAAGTTGTTGCAGTTTTCATACGTGCCGAGTGATGCAGGATCCTATGGTGTGGTGTGTTTATGAGGTGCATAAGTCTCAACTGCTTTTGAATGAAGCCCATATATTTATCCGATTTTAAAAGATGGAAGAATCCTAAAATAGAATTCTTCTTGAAGGCAACGAGGCAATGGCTAATGACTTCAGTGGAGAAGCCACAACACTAAAATGTATGCACTTTTTAACTAACACTTTTCATGTCTGTTGATTTTAATAGCTCTGTTGACCAAAAATAAATTAAAAAAAGAACAAGTTATAGCTTTAATATACTTGGTGAAATAAATCACTTGTGCTGCTTAAATGTACTTTTGGACAAAATTTCCATTTTGGAAATAGAAAAATTAATCCTCCTTCTATCTAACTCCTGGAAGAAGAAACTAATTCAACGCCCTAATTATTTAAAACCAAATACAATTTCAAAAATGCAATTCAATAAAAATAAATTTGTTTATGCCATAACAGTCTGAATTATCTCAACGACTTTAAATTTCTGCAGTCCAGGCATATTTGATTTCCCTACTTGAATCATGCACATGTCATAAAATATAATTCTTTAAAAGTCCTGATTAGCAGCAGCAGTAGCATTGGAAATTCATTATATTTTCCCAGTAAAATATTACAGAAAGAGTATTAAGTGGACAGCTTTAATAAATCATTACAGTTTACTGATACGGGAGGTTGTTTTTTTCTCTCTGCATCAATTTGTAACTAGGTAAAAGGAGAAACGTATTATCTTTTTTCCTTCCGATTTCTTTATGTCTCTTTCAACACATGCGCACATGCACACACACCGCCTCTCACGGTGTAAATTTAACTGACAAATGGGGATTATGGATGGGAAACTAAAGTATGTATCAAATAAGATGCAGTGAAATGGATGCCACTCTTTTGTGCTTTGTGCTGAGACACACGAACATGGTACATGGACAAGTGAGAAGAACAGACGCTGGTGAAGTGCTTTATGAAAACTGACTTACCTTCTTGTAGGCACACAGGTTTATCACTTGGTTTCCAGCTCAGGGAGCCATTAAAGTGTCTCACACAAAGTTTTTTTGAAGTACCATTAAGCCTGTATCCTTCTTGGCAATGAAACCGGACTACCACACTTTCAAAGAAAACACCTGCACTGGGTGTCTTGTATCCATGTTCAGGAGCTCCAGGATCAGCACAAGCATGTAGGTCATCAAACCCTATGTCAGACAAAGATACAATCAAACTGTGTTCATTTACTCCTCATGCAGCCGTAGTCATGCTTTTTCTAGGTTTTTCCGTTTGACATTTAATTTTCTTGGGGGCCTCACATCATCCATTAATGACCGCTAGCAGCCCTACTTGTGTACCAGGTACTCCAGACTCAGGAGAGGACCAGCCTCCAGCTATAGCAGAAATATTCAGGTGACAGAAATACTCCCGTCTTGTCATGCAGCTACTGAGGAAGCAAAGTCAACCACACTCCTCAGTAGCTGACCTGTATAAAAATAAAGCACTTGACCCAACCTACCTGTGGGGATCGTACGGTAATATGTCTGTAATTACTCTTGGGGACTATGGGATTTTGGAGGTCTGGTACAGTCACTGGAAAGAATAATAACGTGTCAGAAGCCGAGAGGAAGAGGAAATAAAGAAAAGGACATGAAGCCTAACTGCCATCCAAAGACATAGCAACTAAAACAGAAGATGAGCTGCTAAATACAGGGAGGGAGCTCTACCACAGGGAAAAGGGACATTGGACGTGTCCCTTTTGGGTCTATGTGATCCCTCTATCACGTTGGCTTGGTGGCCCTACCGAATTCTTAAAACGCTGTTACGGGAGCGCTGCATTACTGCACTGATGCCAGAAGGGAGACTGTCAAGCAGTTTACTTCCACAAAATTAACTGTAAAATAACAAACAAAAACCCAACAGTTCCAATCACAAAACGTGCCTGTTTATCACTTCATCAAACTCATTTCAATGTCATTTGCATAAACTGAAGCTTTTTTTTTTTACTGCAAAGCAACAACGGTTTAGTGCAGTGCTGAACAAGTACCGCATACTGAAAGAGCGAATAGCTTTGCAACAGGAACAGCAGGGGGGCAATTAATGCCCGTGGGAGGGGTGCCTGGAAAATATGCAAGTTTTGAGCTGAAAAGAATAGTATTGGAGAGCCTCAGCTAGTCCCTGCATGACAAGCATGAAGTGCCGCTGTGGTACAGTCAGAGAGAAGGAAGATATTACAGTAGAAGACCTTTCAAAATAAATCTCCGTTTCCCAAGGCCAAATCATTCCCTCTGCTGAAGGGCTCGGTGTGATGCTGTGGCAGCCAAATGGAGAACACTGAGGGTGGTAAAGGGCTCTTGCATTTGAACGCTGAATTTCTGCCTTCAGTCCCCTGGCCAAAGGCTGCTGGTGGAGAGCAGAAGCAGCAGACCCCAAGCCGCTGTGTCGTACGGCCAGTGACCTGCCCGCGCTAGCAGAGGCAGGGCCCACCGTGGGGTCACCACAGAGGATTGTGTTTTCCTGACTCTATACACGGCTGATTTTATTTGAGTCCAGGCCACTGCGCTGAACTCTCCCACCAAACTACAAGTGATGACCTGTAGAGGTGACCTGATGGCCAGAACCCACCCCGAATAACTACATGCCGGAGAGAGCCGTCACCTACACCAGCCTCAGCCCCTCTGCAGTGCTCCGATGCCCGGGGCACTTCACCTAAAGAGATTACACTAGTGTCTCCTCTCTTTGCAACTGCTGAAGCAGCACAAGAGCAGCAGAGCATCTGCTCTTACGCGGTTTTACTCCTCCGTCCAGTGAAGTTTTTCGTGAGAACCGATGCGTCAGTGCAGCAGCCAAGTCAAACAAATCTCTGAACTTCACGCCCGCTCATCTACCGCATGGCTCAAGACTCAATATCATTTGCTAACATGACAAACAAGGAGAAATACAGTCATTATGTTCATGGGGTTACACACTGTAGGCAATACTTAATAATAAAGAAGGGCTGTCCATTTTTACTGGAGATTATAAAGAAGCTTCTTATGCTTCAGGCAGCAAACCCACATCCTTCAATGAAGTCAATGATGATCTTAATTATTTTCCATTAAACCAAGGGATAACCTGACATTTAGCTCAATTTTGTTACTTCGGTAATCTCAGAATTTGCAGTCAGGCAAGGAATATTATAACCCACCTTGAAATATTATAATAAATGAAACCCACCTTTCTTACTAGGTGCATCAGGGAAAAGTACACAACTGCCTACTACTCTGCCTGTGCAACAACAGAAAAAAGAAAGGCTGAGGTCACGTACAATTTGCCTGGGAAAAAAATGAGTCAAGCTCATTCCTCAGTTTTCATTAAGTCAAATACGCAAAGTTAGAGATTTTGGGACCGTCAGTACAAAACACAACATAGAAGGCAAGAATGTTTTTTTCCCTGGTGCAGCCTAATTCTGTGACCCCACTGCCACTTTTCGGGTGACCTTTCACAAGCAAAGACGTTCATTCCTCCTAGGGATCATTTTGCAGTAAGATGTTCTCTTAGGCTCTTTTTCTCGAGTGCAGTTTGTGAGCAGACAAATCTATCCCCAAGGGGAATTCCCAAGATGGAATGGAACACGAATGGAAAATTTGAATTATGTACCCTCTGGTTTCTACAAAGCCAGGAGCCAGCTGTTATTCAGATACTGAATAACAGATGACACATGGAATCAGCACAGGATCACTGCTTCCATGCAGCATTTCCATTGCTTGTTCCTGAAGCAAGGAAGAAGGAAAAAGCCTCAGGGAATAGCCAGTTAGGCGCATCGCACACACAATACGGCAGCTTCTCATGGTAAGATCATAAAGGCAAAGCAAACAAAACCCCAGCCCCATCTTTTCTCCATAGCTATCAACAGTAGACTTGGCCCAAATCTCAGTCCTACTAAAATCAGTGCAAGCCACTTGTATGGCAAGCTGCTTCTTGAAGAGGTATATGATCCAGGCACAAAGCAGTGAAACCAGCGCTGTGCCACCTCTTCCCGTGCTTTGGCCGAGAAGGAGGCAAGGACGTGTGTGAGGGAGGTATAGCAGGAGGTATGGCCGCTGTGCTGGGGATCTCCCAGCGCACAGAGGGCACCGCAGGTGTTTTGAAGGGGCTGTTACAATCTAGAGAAGTCAGGAACTGCTCTGATTTTCACCAGGGTTGCTCCTCTCTTGCACAAGCGGTGTGCTGAGTATTTCAACAGCTCATTTAGCTGAGCGCTAAGTCCATCAGTCTTTTCCAATTTAAGCATGAAACTTCTGGCACAATATTCAAGAACAACAATGCTGAAACATCCCTGAGAAATGCCATCTTCCAGTTGTCCTTAATGGTATGAGACTTGGACCCTTTACATAATAATCCTTTTCATATAATCTCATCTTGTTAAGCTCCATCCTATCAAAAATGAGAAAATGCATGTCTTCAATTAAATACAGCTTGGTAAATTAAGTCATTTTTCTCACAATCTTTAGTTTCTTTCCTTTTTCAAAGCTATGCATTTAAGAGCAAGTACTCAAAGTTGTGATATAGTATTTTTATAATGGCAGGAATAATCTCACGTTATAGACGGGACTTTTGCTTTGGTCCCTTTAGAACCCGATGAAACCAGCCAAAACAATTTTCAGCCAAAGCCACAAGATTAATCTTTGGAAAGAACCATAAGAGTTACATAAATGGAAAAGCCAATCTTTTGGTTATAATAAAAAGGTGTTATCCTGCAGGAAAGAGTATATCAGATAAGATAAAAAATAACTTAGAACTACAACGGATTCTGTTTCTTTATAAAGCCTTCAATGAGTCTTTGGGGAAAAGAATGAAATTTCACTTTGACTACCGGACTTTTTCTCATGGTTACAAAGAGGGAAGGGGGAATCATCAGCACCGACTAGTAAAAACTGTACAACACACTTGTCAAATAAAGCAGTAAAATTTCATGTTACCTATATAGTAAAAATTTAGTAGGGTCAGCAGCCATTGTCATAATCAACACCGCATCACTAGCAACAACTTTATGGGATACTATTTTTTTTTTAAGGCTTTAAAGCCTTAAAGTAAAGACTACACAATTACTGCTGGAACTGACTATTTCAGTAACGAAAATAGCTTAACATTTAGCCTAGGTTGCACACTTCTTGTATCATGGCACCTTTCAGGAATGTTGTGTAAAATACAACGAACAATAATACCTCCTGATAAGGTTAATGAGTACATAATGTCACCATCACCAGTAAAACGTGCAGTTGATAAAGAACATATTTTAGTTCTGTTATTTACCATGTTACCGTTGGACCAGCAGGAGGTCATCAGAAAATAGCAGTGCTTTTAACGTGGATAAAATACAAGCAGTTTATATGGGTTCCTATTTCACCTAAATTACTCGGTATTGTCAGTCATATAAAAATGATGTCAAATTAATCCGAAGACTGAAAAATAAGCAATATCCTCCTTGGGGTGTAAAACGAACCATCATAATTCATCTGAATGGACTGTACTTCCAGAATTCTGCATTTTATGTTCTCAAACATATAATGATTCATCTCATCCCTGATGAAAAGCTTGAAATATTGGAAACCAGGGGAAAATTACATATTTATGATGACAAGAAATCGTGATAGCCACAAATGAACTTCAGACATGCCTGAAAAAAGTCAGGAGGAAGAATCCCTCAGCTCTTCCTGTCGTTCTCTATTTCTCCGCACCTTTGTCTCAGTTTCCTCCTTTGTTTTCCCTGTTTCCCTCCTCCCTCACCTCCATATTTTAGAGCACCTTGTAAATTCGTGGTGCTGACGAGGTGATTTCTAATCTAGACCCGATGGACTTCTCTGCCTCCGAAGCTGCTGTATCGCATTTCGCTGACGCGGGTTAGCTCAGCAGCGGCCGCACTCCGCCCTGCACAGGGACATCACTCCCCTTCCCGGTTGTTCCATACACACAGGGAAGGGAAAGTGACACACAAGGCGTGATAACGTTAAAGGTACGGAGTATTTTCAGTACTTGCCTTCAGCTGGGTGGAGAACGGGCTGCTCGTACCGCAACACCTGCGTTTGCGCCCAGCCCCCAGCAAGCCCTTCCCCGCTCAGCCGGCCGTAGAGGGAGGCAGCGGCTCTGCCGCCCGTGCCCGCACCGGGCTGCCTGCGGGCGCCTGTTACCAGGAGTCTGGAAACACCGCGGGAGCCGCTGATCGCGGGCTTCTCTCTCCCTAAAAAGCCGTAG